TTTGCTCTCTGATGTGACTGTGGTGGATAAGATAAGTAGGATGTTATACTATGACTAAGAAAACTCAGGTCATTCTTTTTTATGCTTTGGCATGTCTCCCATATTTTTAAGAAGCGGTCATTGTCAGCTTTTATCTGTAAAACGCATCGTGTACCTTTTTTTCATTGTTCATCCATCAATGATTTTGCTCGTAACCTCATGCGCCAAGCTTTCATGATTTTCTTTGCTCTCTGGTGGGATTGTGGTGGATAAGATGCTTAGGATGTATACTATGATATAATGATTAGTGTTTGTGTTCCATAATTGCCTTGAAGGATTGACTTTTCTAGTTCTTTCCAGTACAGGCTCATAACATATAAAAAATGATCGTTTATAAGGTGCTTTTGGTTTTAGTTATTGTGAACTGTCTTGAATAAGGTAAATGTGGTTGTTGCAATCTTAAGTTGCTTGTTTTCATTTGGTTTTTTTTATTGTGAAGACCTTAGTCAACGTTTCGTCTCAGATATAAGTAATCGTCATTAGAAAGTTATTACATGGTCTGTATCAGGGTTGTTCCTGTCTTCATCAATCTATGGAAGGAAAGGATGACACGGTGGAAGGACTATTACTGGTTTCCATGATACATAATACTTAATAAAAGCAATATATAAAAACTATATATGCTTCAATAAAGAAGACAACATATCAAGTAAAAGCTGTATCAATCATTAGATTTGATCTGATGTATATTTGCTGCGATGCTATAGGAACCCCTTCGACGGAAGACTGCTTCACCTCCGGTCCTTCGATTGGTTGAATTCCGTGTAAGCTGCGATCTGGACAAAGAGAATCCATACATGATTTCCCACGTCAATAACTGTCACTCTGCTCAATAAAAGTCTCGCCGTGAACGAATGGGGATCGTGTCGTGAAGAAGAAAACGATGCAGTCACCATCTTCTGTCCCACTGAAAGGGCCCAATGTCTGCCATTATTCTATACGAAAAAGCAAGCCTATCCCCCACTATAATAACACCATCCATGCCAAGGTAAACACCCACCTCCCTATCTCTCAGATACCTCCATATCCTCCCGGTTTCAGGCAGGAAACGACCATGGCGCTCTCGAGGATCGCATCGGAGACGGACGTGTCGATCCAGCACACCTTCGCCTCCCGCTACGTCCGCGATTCCCTCCCCAGGTCTGCTCTTCTGCTTCTGCTTCTACTCTTGTCGCGTGAGCCACTTGACCGTCGTATCGTGCGGCGTCCAGGTTCCGGATGCCGGCGAACTCGATCCCCAAGGAGGCGGCGTACCAGATCATCAACGACGAGCTGATGCTGGACGGGAACCCGCGGCTGAACCTGGCGTCGTTCGTCACCACCTGGATGGAGCCGGAGTGCGACAAGCTCATCATGGCCGCCGTCAACAAGAACTACGTCGACATGGACGAGTACCCCGTCACCACCGAGCTCCAGGTAAATCTCTCCCTCGTCTTGTTTGATGAAATGCCTTCCCTTGCAAGTAAAATGACCGTTTCGCCGAACGTGTGGACCCCATCCGATAATGATTACTGTATGGGACGCGGGTTGATGTGTCCGTGGATCCGTCTCCGCCGGTGGATCATATTAAATTGAGTTATTTGCCGGGCACCGCTAGTTCGTCGACCAATCCCTGCTTTCCACGCGACGTATAAGCTTGCATCATAGTTGCCGACTACGGGATATTTAATCGTGGGGACATGTGAAGTCGTACCAATCGACATCGAACCCAATCAACCCGTGACTCGAACCAAGTGGGGACCGCAATAAGACTCGATTTGGCCGCTGGTGAGTCGATGCTATTGGGGTTCAGAGACGACGGTCACAAATGGTTTGGTTTTGGTTTGACGTGTCGCTGGGGCTTCGGTAGCTTTACGTTGCGATCGGCTTCAATATAGATGTCGGTGTGAGGACGGCAGTCGTAATCGATCGTTCATATCACCTAATAAATCGATCGTTGACCCGATTTCACATGATCGAGCGATTTATTAGGTGATATGAACAAATTGATCATATTATTGACATCCAATTAATGTTATTGTGGCTCGATCAAAATTGGGGAACATCTTATCGATCGGCAGCCACATCCATGGTCCGTTGAGATTCGGGCTTGGACTCGATGGGCCCGTTTTTAAGATTTGTGCCGCTTGATCGTCAGGGTGTGGGCAAGACGCTTCCCCCGGCCTCCCCCCTCTCCGGGAAAAGAGGGTTACACGAAGGAAGAAGAACTAATCCCCAGATCAGCCGATGCTTCTCTTCGCATGGCTGAAGCCGACGCGGATGTCGGGAGCCGACTGGCGTTGGCGCGGTCCGCCCTTCCTTATTCCTGCAGGCCGGACTCGAAATCGTTCGCCTGGACATCAGTAGCTCTGGTCTTTTCCCGCCATGCGATGATTGACCTCAAGAGGGTGATCTTGATGTTGGATTTTTGAGCGAGGAGTCTTTAGATCCATCTCAAAGTTTGAGCTTTTAGGGAGAAATATGAATTGGTCAGTCACTCGCTCTTTTCTTTCGTAAAAAATAGATTTGGTTTTGGGCTTCACCTGCTACATAGCGAGACACTACTGCGTATTGTGGAAGGATGAAAGAGAAGAAATAGTGATTATTATTTTTAGTTAAATTAACAAAAAAATGAAGACTACAATTCTCAATCATGATATTTGATTAATGTAAAAGAGGTTGTTGTAGTGGATCAAGGAACCAGTGTCAAATACAAATTAGCATATTGCCACCACCTTTAATCCAGAAAATCAAGTGATTTCCATTTAATTCCAGCCAAAAATTTGAGTGATTTGTAGTCATAATCTCCCAGCTAAAGAAAAAAATGAGCTCGACTGCTTTAACATTCATGTTCCTTTGTTGATTCAGAATCGATGTGTGAACATGATTGCCCATCTCTTCAATGCTCCTATCGGTGAGTCAGAGGCTGCGGTGGGAGTTGGAACTGTGGGCTCTTCAGAAGCCATAATGCTTGCTGGGCTAGCCTTCAAGAGGAAATGGCAGAACAAGAGGAAAGCAGAAGGCAAGCCTTGTGACAAACCGAACATTGTCACCGGTGCCAACGTACAAGTAAGCATTTGATGCTGAATTATCTTAGGTATGTCTACCTTCTACCTATTGCATGTTTTAAGTATTGCGACACAACTCTTTGATCATAATAGGTCTGCTGGGAGAAGTTCGCGAGGTACTTTGAGGTGGAACTTAAGGAAGTGAAGCTGAGGGATGATTACTTTGTCATGGACCCTCACAAAGCAGTTGACATGGTTGATGAGAACACCATTTGTGTTGCCGCAATCCTAGGTTCAACCCTTAATGGAGAATTCGAGGATGTGAAGCTTCTCAATGACCTCTTAACTCAGAAGAACAAGGAAACTGGGTAAGCATATAAATCTACTCATGACCTCCTCAATGGCTATCGTATTTAAACTTCATGAACGAACAATCAATAACCAACCTGATTTATCGAACAAGTTCAGTCTCATTACCAGGCCTACCTCAACAACCATAACTGAAAGTCCGTCACTCTTCACTTCATATCCTGCTAGTGAATTGTTGTCAAGTATACCTTTCAAAAACTATTTTTTATATAATTGAACAACTAGACCGATGACAAACTTTAGAGGCAATTTTGCTTTCTAAATTTTGTGTAGTTACTTTCTTTTGTTCCTTAAGTC